AATGATAAAAAAATAATAATTTGGTCTAATCCACATCCATCTTCAACTTTATATTGCAGACCAATAAGATTTTCATTTAAAAAAGAAACCATTGAAGTTTTGAAACAAGAGAATCAGTTTATTAACAATTCAATTGCAAATTTGTCTTTAACATTTTGTGAAAACTTAACAATACTTCATAAAATTGAAATAACGATGGTGGACGGCAAAGTTGCTACAGCATTATCTACAGCAACTACATCTTCTCAGTGTTGTTCTGTTTGTGGATGCAGCCCAAAAAAAATGAATGATCTTAATGCAGCTAAAAATATGCCATTGACAGAGATAGGTCTCTGCTTCGGTCTTTCAACTCTCCATGCTTGGATTAAAAGCATGGAATGTCTTCTTAAAATTAGTTATAAATTGACAGTGAAAAAGTGGGCTACAAGAACTATATCTGAAAAGAAAATTATTCAAGAACGAAAACAGAAAATCCAGATAAGGTTTCGTGATGAAGTTGGACTGATAATTGATATGCCAACATCTGGTGGCTCTGGGTCTTCAAATAATGGAAACACTGCTAGAAAATTTTTTCAGAATGCAGAGAAGTCTGCTCAAATTCTTGAACTTGATGTCAGTATGATAAAGATGTTGCATGTGATTTTGTGTACATTGTCATCTAACTTTCTAATTGATTCTTCACTATTTAGAGAATACTGCTACAAAACAGCTGAGAAGTATGTAATCCTTTATCCATGGTATCATATGCCACAGAGTCTGCATCACATTCTTATTCATGGTTGGCAAGTTGTAGAGAGAATGGCTTTGCCTATTGGCATGCTCAGCGAAGAGGCACAAGAAGCTCAAAATAAAAATTTTAAGAAATTTCGAGAATCATTTTCTAGAAAGTGTCCGCGTTCCAAAACAAACGAAGATTTATTAAGGCGACTAATGTGTTCTTCTGACCCTTTGATAAGTAGTTTGAGAAAACCCCATCATCCTAAGAAAAACGCTCTTCCAAATGGAGTTTTTGATCTTCTTAAAGAGGTTCCAATTTTTGACTAAGTGTCAATGACATAGTTTTGATTTTCGTTGGTGTTTAAGATGGTGTTTACTTTATAAGTATTTAATATTTACATAATAAAATAATGAATATAAAAGTTTGTTTTCTTATATATTCGTTATAAAATTTTTTGTATCTCTAATTGCATAAAAACTTGCTTATTTTTATATGGTTGCTAAGGGTATCTAAACTACACAGTTAAAATTTAATTAACTGTTCCTGTAAACCTTTATAGTTAAGAGTGTTTTAAAAGTTTTTATTTCATTTTTTAAAGAAATTTTCAATTAAGAAAAAGTTTCAAAAAAAATTACCAACTGGTTTCTAAGAGCACATAACAGCATAGTAACACCAAAAATTGATAATTTTTTGTTTGTGTTATCATTCAAATACATAAAATAGCAATGTAGCATTAATATCAGTTTAGTTTATAACTTTGATATTTTGAGAAAGTCTTTTTATTTAGGTAACTATGCAAAATGCCTGTTGACATGAAATATAGGTATCCATGGCAACCAAATAAACAATCTAATGGTGCCATTAGATTTGTTATATGAAATATACTCAAGCTGCTAATTATGGGAAAAACCTGATAAATATTTTAAAAGTTATAAATTTTGTCCAGCTAATAATGATTTTGGCTCACTGTGCAACGTGAAAATAATTTTGAGCCCCTTCCCCCTCTTCGCCCCTCCCCCAATTATTTTTTTTCCTCCTTTAAAACTTATAATTACGCTCAAGAATATTAGAAAAGTACTTTTTATAACTTTTTTCAATTTTTTTTTATTTAAAAAAAAATTGAAAAAAAGACTTTTAACTTTTCAATACGCACTTGTGGCTAATAGAATCGATATAGTATGGTTAAATTCCACATTTTAAAACGATATAAAAGGAATTAGAACAACAGTTAACTACCCCGCAACTATTTTAATTGAGCTTAAATAATAAAGTTTAAAACACTAATGGTTTTTTTTTTTATTTTTATATTTCCTTAATAAAAAGTTTTGCAATTTTTATTTTTTATTTCATGTGAATTAAATCCTTTAAAGATTTTTATTATAACTGAAAATTAAAAAAATTTTATAATAATATTACAAAATGGTATTAAATAATCTTAGAAATAGATATTGTTGTGTTTGTAAAAAGAGAGGTGAAATTATTGGCTCAAAAAAAGTTTTTGAAATTAAAAATGAAAATATGATAGATAAAGTTGTATATCATTTTAAACTTGATCGAATAAATCTTATACACGATCAGATAATGTGTTACAAGCACTTAAAATCTTTGAACAAAGCCGGGTTTTTTCTTGATAAAAATATAAATGTCATTTCTAACAATACACTTGTTGAAGATAATTCTAATGATGAGTCAAATCCTAATATTGTTCTTGAAAACTATGATCATTTCGATTCTAGGAGTACTGATAAGGGTTCTAAAGAGTTCGAGAATGTCGATGACAACGATGACAATGATTATTGCAATAAATCTATTGAAAAGAAAAAGATCAATATAGAAATCGATAGAATTTCAAATTCACATGGTTTCTGTTTTATTTGTAAATGTGAATCTGGTTCGACTCCATTTAGTAAAATAACAAATGAAGGGATAATGGATGTTTTTATTAAAACAAATGTATTTATACCTATTGATAGTAGGTGTTGTAAGTTTCATTTGACAGACAGTAAGTGGCTTAAAGATGAATATTTAAATAATATTTCATCTTTCAAAAACTCCGTAAACTTAAATAAAGCAATGATACAAGATTTATTTAAAAGTTTTCCTTCTAGAGATTCAAAAACATATTTGCAAAATTTAGCGAAATAAATAACGTAACAACTGAGTTTTGTTTCCAAAATACCGGTTTTACCAAAGATGAATTTTTATATTTGGTAAGTGAATTAAAAACAATTAAAAACTCTTTCAAACGTTCGAAAGAGCAAGCTCTTGCCGTTTATCTCTTTTGGTTAAAGACTGGTCTTGATCAAAATTCAATTGCGTGTTATTTTGGTTTGTCGTGTCGGTCAAAGGTTCAAAAGTATTGCCATCAGATAAGAACCTCACTTAGTGCTGATTTTGTTGAAAAGAATTTAGGAGCAAAATCACGATCACGAAAAGATTGGCTCTTAAATAACACAGACATGATCAAAGATTTGTTTGACTTAAAAGAAGAACAGCTAGCAATTATAGCCGATGGTACTTATCTATTCCGTGAAAAAAGTTCTAATAATACTTTACAACGAAAACTGTACAGTGGGCAAAAAAAAAGACATTTAGTTAAGCCTTTTGTAGTATGCACTGCAAATGGTTTTATTATTGATGTTTATGGAACTTTTGCTGCAACTATGAATGACGCAACTATATTAAGTAATATTTTAAAAACCAAAAACGATATAAGAGAACTAGTTGAGCCCAATGATTTATTCATTTTAGAGGTTTTAGAGATATCGTTGACGAATTGAAAACTACATATAAAGTGTTTACGAAGATGCCAACTTGTTCTAAAAGTCAGTTAACTAGTTTACAAGCGAACCATACTAGGTTTGTTACAAAATGCAGATGGGTTATCGAGGCTGTTAATGGTACATTTAAACAATCTTTTAAATCTTTGGAAAAAACAAGGAATGCAATGCTTCCTCATATAATGACTGATGTTAGAATAGCTGCCTCTTTGAGTAACTGTTTTCATGTAAAATATATATCCGATAAAAAAGACGGTAAAGATATTGCAATTCTAATGAAAAATAAAATTAATTTCAAAAATGATTTGGAATCATATATTTTGAACACAAAAAATAAAAGTAAAAAGCATTTTGAACCAATCGACGCGTTAGATTTAAACGATTACCCAAAGTTTTCTATAGATGACATGCGAAAATACATCACATTTGGTAGCTATCAAATATAGCAAAGTTACAGTTATCTAGCAGAACATTTAAATAAAAATGGAAAATATATTATTTTGATTGATAAAAATATTCAACAAACTCAAAATTATAAATTGATTTCCGCTGAAATTCAGTCAAGACATTCAAACGCGACTAAGTATAGGTTATATATTAAATACTTGCCAAATATCGATAGTCCAGAATCAGTATTGTCTTGGGCATGCGGGTGTTTTTCTGGTTTAAGAACTTGTGGTTGTTGTAGTCACATTGCTAGCATTATACTTTATTTGTGTTGTGGAAAGTATTTAGAAAAACTTCCTGATCCAGGCTCAAGGCTTATGTTTTTTTTACAAAGTAAAAATGAATCAGAATGCGAATCTGAAAAAGAAACATTAGAGATAAATGAAACTATGAAACGAGATATATCAACGAGTTTAATTCAATCGAAAGCTAAATCTAACGTAGAAATGAATATAATTGATTCTGAATTAAGTATTTCACTATTGAATCAGAAATCTGCAAAAATAATTAATGAAACAAACTTTAGATCTTTTTCAAAGCATTTACCAAAATGGGGCGGCTGTATTTTGTTAAATAAAGATGATTTTAAAATGGATACGGATTATTTTTGCTGTGTCAATTATACCGAAGTATTATCATTCAGAACACTTGCACGATTGATTATTTTTTGTTGGCTATTTGGTGCTCATCTTTATTGTCACAAAATATCATAAGTGTATTACAAGAGAATAAAAAAGATATCAAAATATATAATCACATACTCGATATACTTTCTCTCATTGAAACTTGTGAATGGGATAGAGTAAAAACTATATGGATTCTTCTTGTTATGAGACTAAAACCAAATGATTCTTTAACTTTCAGTACTCTTGATACAGAATGCAATGCGTTTATTCGTTTTTTAATACATTTTCAGACAATTCAGTTTAATTGTTCAACCTGTAACAAAACGATTTGTCCAAACATTAATGAGTTTATCTTAATTAAAAACGCAGAGAAAGTAACATATTTAAATATCAAGTTGAATGAATTGTGTAAAATCTGCTCTAATGATTCTACTGCAAAGTTTTTATTTCACCCATTTTGTTTATTTGTAGAGGTGTTCCAAGAAGTTGAAGATGAACTAAATATAAATGATATCCTATTATCATTTATAATTGATAAACGTTGTTTCAATTTTATATGTTGCACAATATTTAATAATGAAACAAGCCACTATAGATCAATATTTTTATTAAATAGTGAGTTTTATTTGGTAGATGATTTAAGCAATTCTATCATCAAAAAACTACCAAAAATGTATAATATAAAAAATATTTTTTATTATTTGGCTTAAATATATAAAATTACAATAATTTTTCTTGTTTTTTGATTTTTTTTTTTTTTTTAATTTTTGGCCAAAACAATATTTTTACCAGATACCAGATTTACCAGAAAACTCGCCAAGCTGATCGGACGCCAAATGAAAAAAGACGCCAAGCTGATCGGATTTAGATTTTTTGGCTGGTAATCCGTAAGACACTAACAATACGTTGGTGTAAAAATCTAAACACGATCGGCTTGGCGTGATTATGGGCCAAAAGGCATAAAAGTAGTACAGACTCCTTTTGAAAAAAAATTTTGTTATATTTTCAATGTTACAGTTTTTTCGTAGTATTTTCTTTTAAAATTTAGCAGGTTGTGTGCTAGCCCACGCGATGTTATCATAATTAGTATAGCTATGAATTAGAATAATATTAACTAATATCAATTTAAGACTTTCAGTATTTATGAGGGAAGTAAATCATATATACATTATAGCAACTGTTTTGTTTTATTTTTAATTCGATGTTTTTTATGTAGGGAAGCCAAGATAAATTTTTATCTACAAAAATTCTTAGGTACTTTAAAAATTTATAAAGAGCGCTGATAACTTAAGTGGCAGGTATTTTTCTAGTGTTTTTTATAAAATAATATACAGTAGCGTCAAAAAGTTTGCGGACAGACAAAAAAAAAAGGAATTTTACTTATATTTCAGCACATACTTTACTTAAGCCAACATATTATATACCAATTAAAGGGTTTTCACGTTTACAATTAAGTTTAAAATTTATACAAAAGCAAAATCATATTAGTATTTTGTGGGATATCCTTTACAACCAAGAATAGCTTGGCACCTATGAAACATTGAGTCAACTAAATTAATGCAAACGTCAATGGGAATTAAGTCCGATATTTCTTTGATTTTATTAAATAAATCTACACAATTAAAACAAAAATAAAGGCTTGATTTCTTTTATTTGATGTTCAGCATGTTCCCATAGAAGTTCAATGGGATTTAAGTCAGGTGATTGGGATGGTCACTTCAAAACATTAACTTTACTCTTTTTGAAAAACTCTAAAACCGATTTGGCTTTATGTTTGGGATTGTTATCCTGTTGGTATATCCATCCTCGAGACATTTTATTCTTTGCATATGGTAACATAATAGTCTTACATATATCTTTGTACTTTTTTTGATTCATAGTCTTGGTAAATTTACAAACCATTACCAAAACTATGAATCAACCCAAACCATTACATTACCTCCTCCATGTTTTACTGTAGGCGGTTGGTATTTAGGATCGTATCTTATACCTACTGGACGTCGAACATACCTGATTTCATTTGATCCAAACAGCATAAACTTTCGTCCCTAAAAAGAATTTTTGACCATTTTTGCCTACTCCACTTTAGATGTTCTGATGCAAATTCCTTTCGGGTGTTACGTTTTTTTAAGGAAACTAATGTTTTTTTAGCTGGGCGTCTTCCAAATAAATTAACGTGGCGTAAACGACGTTTTATAGTAGAAATAATGCAATTTATTCCATAGAAACGTCTTATTTGTACGTTTAAATCGACAGCTGTCAAACGGGGATTTTCTTTGCTTAGTATTACAAGCTTTTTATCTTGATAACACGTTGTTTTGCGTAGCCTTCCTGATTGATTTTTATCCTTTGGAGATCTAGTAAGCTCATATCTCTTAATAATTTGCCCAACAGCAGACTTACCAACTCCATAAAGCTGCGCTGTTTTATGAAACGAGTTTCCATTTTGAACTGATTTTAAGATCAATTTTTTTACTGGAGATGAAATACATTTCTTCATCCCATGATCTCAATCATTTATATATAAAGTTTTTAAATTATTTCCACAAAGTATTTGTTTATAAAATCAACAAATTAGGTATTTTGTAGTGAAATTGTTAAAAGCTTTAGTTTGTCCGCAAACTTTTGAACTTATCAAAATCGTTATTTTGTTAACCAATTTTAAAATGTTAATAAAATATTTATTATTTGCTGAAAATATAATTGGTAACCTAGAAACTTTTAAATTTGTATATAGTATGTTGGCTTTAGTTAAGTATGTGTTGAAATATAAGTAAATTTCCTTACTTTGTTGCCTGTCCGCAAACCTTTGGACGCTACTGTATATTGAGTTTTATCTACGTTTATTGAGAGCTTATTAATTCTGAACCACTTATTACTTTTCATCAGTTAATTAATCATATAGCTGACTAAAACCACTATTGGACATTAACAAGTTAGTATCATCAGCATACATAATTAATTTTAATTTCGTAGATACATTACAGAAGTTGTTAATAAAAGTTAGAATAAAATCTTGTCTAGAAATGAATCTTGTCCAAACTGACTACATACTGTTAGTAAGGTTATTTTTAACCTAACTAAATATTTTATTTGTTACAACATTATAGTTAATATTTCTTAATGGGATATGATCTACTGTGTCAAATGCTTTCAAAAAATTTATAAATATTCCTATTTATATATGTAAACTGGTTTTCAAATCCGTTGGTTATTTTGTCAACTAAATCGATAACTGCATGCTCCGTTGAGGCTCCAAGGAGGATCGCTTATACCAGTGTTACGCTTGTACCAGTTATCATTAAACATAACCTTTTAAAATTTTTAATTTCTTCAACAAAATCTGGCTAAAAGATGACTACAAAACCAGCCTTGATAACTAAGTTGAAACTTTTGAATGTTTTAATTATGTAAACAGTATTTGTATCACTTAGTTGTTGCAGCACATCCTCATTTCTAAGAAGCATCCTGCACTTATTTCCCTCAAACTAGTCCACATGATATGGGCTTAGTTGAATGTGGAGGTCAGCTGACCACTTAACAACTTCTATTCAAAAGAATTTTGAAAAGATAATTGATATCTCTTTAGAGGAGATCCATTTCCATTGGTGTAATGATTAACAAAATCAAAACATTATCAAATCTGCTAATGATTGCTTTTCTAATGACATTGAATGACCAGATTTCTAAAAAATACTCGAGGCTAGATTTGATTAAGCCCAGTTTTTGCAAGTTTCCAGATTTGGCAAAACACTTAGACTTGACGTCACACAATGTGCACGAATACATTATTGAATAGGTTTAAAGACCATTTGCTATATTTGTAACTTTTATATCTCAACCCAAAAATAGTTTAACTTTGCTTGCATTAGTCAGTGACTAGATTTGCTCAATATTTGAGTGAATTTCTAAAAAATCTTCTGGAACCGCAACAAATATTTGCCTCTTGAATCCCGTGTCTTTACTCGTCTTTTGAGTGAGGGTTAGTTGCTGTGGCGGTGAGCTGGTTTCATTACTTTTTTTTTTTATTTTTTTTATTTATTTGAATTTTCATGCTTTATTTTTCTATACAATGTTCTTATATTCGATGATATTGTTGGCTTAGCATAGGAACAGCCACAAATAGTCATTAAAACTAATCCAAAGTAGCGTTCGTTATTGACCAACATTTTTGCGTACCGAAGTTCTACGTTCTAACCAACTGAGCTATCCAGCCACAATCAACTGAGCTATCCAGCCTACTTAACGTTGTGTTGACAATGCTTTGATAAAATTTGAGAAAAAATTTGCCACTATTAATTCCTAGCTTGATAAAATAGCCACTAGAAATTTTACGAGATTGAATAACATGATTCACAAAACTTGATAAATTATTGCAGTGAGCAACAAAACCAAAACATTTCCGTCGGTGATTTTTAAGTCACTAAAGGTAAAGAAATCCCTCAACTGTTGACCAGATTAGAAAAATTTATGTAAAAATTTGACTCTACCATTTTGCTGCTTAACGTTTAGTATATAGTACTATCAAGTTGCTTTAAACCAATGTTTGACAGGCCCATATTTAATTGTACATTTACAAAGGCTGAGTGGTCAATTTTGAAGCGCTTGGTTGTGGGTATGCACTACAACCAAAACATGCATATAATGTGTTTATAATATACTTTGTTTAAAAAGTTTGAGAAAACTTTCAAATTGCTAGTTTTTAAAGAAATTAGCAAGTTGTCAAAAATATACTTTCTGAAATCGATCATATCTCATTTTTAATAGTCGAGACTTTCTTTCAAATTATATGCAAAAAGTATTTAAGTATAAATATTTACCTGTGTTTTGGGGTATTCGAAAGTGGAGGCCCGACCGATGCTTTAACAACTTGAACTGTTCCTTTCAGAGATAGTTGGAAAAAATTCAATAATTAGAAAAAAAACCTGTAGATAGTTGGAAAAAATTCGAGATTTATTGTGTTTTTTTTCGATTGTTTTGCTACTTACGATTGAAGGTTT